TATATATATATATATGCATCTTTACGCATGTCAATCATGACTTACATACCATGAAGTACTTTTGTCAACAATTGCTATAGTCATTATGCAAGAACTTGCTGTAAAATGGATCATTGCCACCCATAAACCAACGGAATGATAAGAATCGGCTTTCCACGCGCGCGTCACAGTTCCTTCATTTTCCTTCGTTCCGCATAAAAGAACCCATAACGCGCATTCACGGCACCGTTACACCGTGTAAAGTAACGTAGTGATGAGAAAGGAGAGAAAGAGGAAAAATGTGAAGGTTGAAATGTTAATGACCTTTTATAATACAAGATCGCGATATAACATAATCCCATGTTGCATGTCTCATATGTGTTCCAGCGCGAGCATTAAAGACATCGGTCGTGGGCGGAAGTCCTGCAGTATAAGTAACGACCATATTTCGCAGCTATAACAAAACGTCACATACACGTTGGGGACAAGGGAGGAAGGTGGAAAGACCAGCGGGAGAGCCGCTTTTATTATTGGCGCAATAAAACTCCGGTAACTGAGTAATAATTTAAAAGTTGAGCGCCGTTCAGCTCAAGCACCTTCGGCGCTGCGCCGCGCCGCTCCGAGATGAGAGCTTGCGATCGACGGCACAACGTGACGATATTCGCGCCAATAAGTGCGACCGGCGAAATTTGCGAATATTCCAAGCTACACAATCTGTAGCCGTAACGGTGTTGGTTTTATTGTAGTCCGTCGTATATATCGTCAGCTTTACTATTTTAAAATCATATTGGACAAGTAGAAGAGTCGCTATAAGCTGGCTGAAATATAAATATAAATATAAAAAGACAAAAGAGAGGAAATTGAAGAATTTAACGATACCGACTGTATAAATGGTTATCATGTTTGATAATGTCCAATCTGTCACTAATTAAATTAACTTTTGAAATTTATCGTAGCTTCTACATAACAAAATTAATTTTTTTTTTAAACTGATGTATAATAATATATTTAGCAAGTATAATTTCGACATTATAAGTAATGTGTCTTTATATTAATAATAAGGAAAGTTTATTGTGTGAAATGTACAAGAGAAATTTATATAAAAGTTATATCAGAAATAAGCACTGCACATTTAAAATAAATATACGTATAAAATATGTAGTAGAATAAAATGTTCAATTCAGTTGGCAGCTACGTAAATTTGTAGAAAAAATTATTTAATAATTCATTCATGAAATGTATAAAATTTCACATATGACATACCGTTTAATATAATTCGTTATAGCGAGAGTAAATTTTGCAAACTATTCATTTCATATCTGTCAAAAATTATATGCGACGTAATTAATTTGTACGGCGACGTGAATTGCAGAATGAGGCTTGTCGAAAGCTCATCGCGCTCTTCGCTCGTTGACGGGGAATTTACGAGGCAGCTTTTGTGCGATTCCGATGAAAATCGATCAGAAAAACTTGAATAAGTGCGAAGGACGCATTGTCGGACGGGCGAAGAATACGGGAATTGTCGTTAGCCTCCCTTCGGTGACACGTCTGAGTTGTGGAGCGAAGAGATGGGGACTAGAGATATACGGTCGGACGTTGAAAGTGTAACAAGGTTTTCCGTTATCGAGTCTAAGATATCTCTAAAAAACGAGCACCGATCATGATGCATCTCCATGTTACTATCGGGAATCGGGAAAGGGGGGAGGGAATGGTTGGGGAATGCGAGGAAAATGCGGTTCCGCTCGCCCTTCGCGTGTAAAAATAGATCTTCCTAGCGAAACCGCCGCGTTGCTGGAATTCGATATCGCTTGTATACATTGCACTTCGCATCCCGTTGTGAACGTAAAACGAATTAAATATTTTCTCGCAGCGGACGGCCCAGAGAATTCCAATGTAACGACGGACGGCGCCGCGCATATCCGCGGATTTTGTTCGCGAATTAAAATTAATAGAACGCCTATATTGGGACGGAATGATTGCACGTTCGCATGTGCATTTATTCTGGTTGCTATATATGTACGCGCGTTACATAGCTCGAGATTATCGTTACGATCGATCGAACCGATACCTGAGCGAATACATGAGAGGATTTCAAATGACTGTTGGAAAAGTAGGTTTTTCCCGGCTCCATGCAGGACTTTCAAGCTCGCTGCGGCGAGATGTGGGCTCACGTGGGCTTAACGTTTTTATCGTACCTTTTTCCGATAATTAATGTTCGTCCCTTCGCGTCTGCAAAGCGAACGAAAGGGACAAACGAAAGAGAGAGGCAGATCAGATTAATGATTGTTTTACTCGCTCGTCATTATATGAAAGGCGACGCCGGTTATCGCCGAGCGAAATAGCGGAAAGAAGAACAGGACAGAGAAAGTGGAAAGGACGTGGAACGTCTCTTTCGTCTCTCTCTCGTCAGGCGAGAAATCAAAGAGTGTCGTGCGCCATTCTAACCCTGCGGGAGGAAAAAAAGGAAAAAAATCAGAATGGAATCGGTAGATGGGGTGACGCTTTCATTTTACACGAATTATTTTCTAGATTTTTACAATGAGAAAAATATGAGCTGCATTAAAACGGTCCTCGAAAGAATCTTCGTGATTGAATTCCGATGTACCTTTTAGTATGTATAATGTTACAATACCTATATAAAATTCTATTCTTTACTATTTATATGTTTATATATAAAATATAAGTCTTGTTATTTGCAATTAATAATTGTTTTATAATTAATAGTTGAAATAACACTAATCCACATATAATTTTATATTTGATAAAGTTTAAATAATAAATTCTTTCCTATTTTTGTCATTCTGAGAATATTTCTATTGTTTTAAGATTCAGATAGTAACACGATGTACATAAA